GGTCTGAAACCCACGGGCTCAGGCAATCCACTCACCTCAGCCTCCCAAAGGCGCGGGATTACAGGCTGAGCCACCGAGCCCAGCTAAAAAAATTTTTTTTAACTTTACTTGCTAACCCAAATAGCAATTAAACCTCAAAGCACTATTAGAATTAAAGTTTCTACGTTGAAATTGGTTAGTATGCCTCTTAACTTTCTTTCAATCTATTCGTTTCCTTTTCCCCCCTTCACTACAATCTATTTGTTGAAGAAACTAGATTGTTTATCTCAAGTTCTCCAGCTTGAACTTTGCCAATTACGTCCCTACACATCAACTAACATGTTCCTCCACCCTGTGTTTCCTATAAACTGGTAGTTAGCTCTAGAAGCTTGATGACATTCAGAATGTTTTGTGGGTGAGAGCAAGAATACTTTATGGGTAGTGGTATGTACCCCTCGTAGGAAGGACAAAGTGTTTGGATGTCTTTTTGTGATGTTAGTGGCCATAATCATAGTTTACTCTAGATCCATTAAGTCATTAGAGTTAAAATATTTTAATATGCTTCATTGCTTCATTTGTTAGCTGATATATTTACTACAAATATTTCCATAAAGAGCAGCTTTCCTATATCACATAATTTGGTTTGCTTAGGTATAGTTTATATAGGAAAGACAGGGTAAATATTTCATTCTTTGGCTTTTTTTTCCATTCTTCAATATTAGTTTAATAGCACCTTCCAAAGTGACCGGTAAAGGTTTGTGTTTTTTAAATGTATATTATGAACTAATGGAGTATAACTAGATGTTTTTCAGTATTGTCAATCTTTATTTTTTTCCTGTAGGTTACAATTGAGATGAATGAGCCAGTTCAGCTGACTTTTGCACTAAGGTACCTGAACTTCTTTACAAAAGCCACTCCACTCTCTTCTACAGTGACACTCAGTATGTCTGCAGATGTACCCCTTGGTAAGATAATAAATTTGAACCTTGTTTTGTAGGTAGTATATGTAATACTCCTCAGTAATTAACTATCTTTCTGTCTTTCAGTTGTAGAGTATAAAATTGCTGATATGGGACACTTAAAGTACTACTTGGCTCCCAAGATCGAGGATGAAGAAGGATCTTAGGCATTCTTAATATCCAAGAAAATAAAACTAAGCTCTTTGAGAACTGCTTCCCAGATGTCAGCATGTACTAAAGTCTTCTGCCACCAAATTTGTACCTCTTGGTACATATGTAGATATTGTTTTCTGTAAATAACCTATTTTTTCTCTATTCTCTACAACTGGTTTAAAGAATAAAGTCTAAGATCAAATATGGTCTTGTTAACCTAGAAATATTTTTGCATTACTTAAAAATACTTGAGTTTTACAATACAAAAGGGTCTGGACTCTAAATGCAGTTTTAAGAATTGTTTCTCAACCTAAATAAAGTTTCCTGAATTTCAAATGTCACAGGAGAGTGCCTTCATTTGGACCATAACTGTTGCAAGTATCCTACTATGTTATGTTCTCAGCTAAAGCTACCCTCTTCAGAAAATGTTTTTCCAGTTTGGAGCAGCCTGGTGAAGGCTGCAATAAGAAGAATTTGAAATACAGTAGGTTTCCAGATATCTTTGGAGATTCAATTTTCTTTTCTGTGTGTGTGTTGGAGTCTCACTCTGTCATCCAGACTGAAGTGCAGTGGCCACTCCCAGCCACTGCAGCCTTGACCTGCTGGGTTCCGGCGATCCTTCCGCCTCAACCTTCCAAGTAGCTGGAACTACAGGCTACCGTGCCCGGCTAATTTTTTGATTTATTGTAGAGATGAGGTTTCCCCAAGTTGCCGAGGCGGGTCTCGAACCCACGGGCTCAGGCAGGCAATCCACTCACCTCAGCCTCCCAAAGTGCAGGATTACAGGCTGAGCCACTGAGCCCAGCTGGAGATTCAATTTTCAAATGTCAAATTTTTTTTATTATTCTAATTTAAGACCAAGTAATGAGGGGAAAGAATAGAACAAATTCTGTATTTCATCATTTTGTTAGCAAGACTTAACACTTTTCAGAAGCGTAATATTCATCTGCTTTATAAGACTGACATTGTTATAGGACAGTGTTTTTTGTTTTTTTTTTTAAGCCTAGGGAATTTCTTACAAGAGTCACAGACATTTCCATAGATCTGAGATGGGGCCTAAGGAATATGGTTGTGCAAAAATATCTCATGTGAGTACCCTTTGAGATTACACTCGCTTAAAGGATGAAGATGTCTTAAATTCCACTGATGTTGGATCCAGCCAAGAAAGTGAAAAGATCCTACAGTTATACAGAAAAACTTTAAAGCATTCCCAGTAACTGCTGTAAGGTCACTGGCATGCCACATTTTGAGAATTGTTCTATTATCCTTTTTCCCCTGATGCATTTTATATTTGGTAGATTAAATGACTGGTGTTACTTGGACTGAGTTACTGGATGTTGGAATTGACTATATTATCCAGCCGTGCGAGTTCATTACCTACAGTGTGCCTGCGAGTGGGAAAGAGAATGGCTGCAAAGGGACTGGGACCTGATAAAACGGGTGATGGAAATGTTTTAGAAAAAGTTTAGAAAGACTAGTGACGGTTCCAGGACTATACGTTTGTCAGAACTTACCCAGTTATTTTATGTCGGTTACACCTTAATAAACCTAACTTTTTAAAGAGCTTCACGTGTAGCAAGATGTCCCTTGTGGGCAGGTCTCTTTTTTTTTTTTTGAGTCGGAGTCTCACTCTGTCGCCCAGACCGGAGTGCAGTGGCCGCTCCCGGCCACCGCAGCCTCGACCTGCTGGGCTCCGGCCATCCTTCCGCCTCAGCCTTCCGAGTAGCCGGAATTACAGGCGCGCGCTACCACGCCCGGCTGATTTTTGATTTATTGTAGAGATGAGGTCTCGCTGCCCAGGCGGGTCTCGAACCCGCGGGCTCAGGCAATCCACTCACCTCAGCCTCCCAAAGGCGTGGGATTACAGGCTGAGCCACCGAGCCTCGCTTCTGGGCAGGTCTCTTAACCTGGGCAAGGCCTGTTGGCGAGGAAAGGGAAAAAAGAATGCGGAGCTACTCAAGGGGGTGCAGTCGTGGGGTGTTGACAGCACCGAGCGCGACGCCTCTCGGCGAAAGGCTAGCTGTCCTAGGCACTGGAGAACTGGCTACCCAGAGGTCAGTCTAGATACTCTGGCGCGCTCCGCTTCCGCCTCCATGGGACAACCCTGCGCTCTCCACCCCGCCCCTGAGGGATTAAAGAAGGACCTACGTAGCAGGCTTGCCCTAGACCTGGCTATGACCTGGGTGTGCGCGACCCTAGGTACCCACCCGAGCAGGAGTAGCCGGCGGCGGGCACAGGCCAAGGATCCGCTTCCGCACCGCGCCGACCCAGAGCCAGGACACCTCCCGCCGGGAACACTCGCTAAGGGATGGAGCGGAACGTGCCGCGGAACCCAGGTGAGAAGACGTCTCCTGGTGACGCCACTTCCGGCGCGCCACTTCCGGCGCCCTGGTCCTGGCAGGGGTGGCTTGGGTGGCAGGTAGGCGGGCTGTGCCGTGCGGCCCGGGGAGCTGCCGGCCGTGGGCGAGCTCCGGGCGCGTGGGAGGCCTGGCGCGGCGCTCCGGTAAGGCGTGCTTGCCGCGAGCAGGAGCAGAAGCGCCCCCTGGGGCTCCGGGCGTGGCGAGACCACTCCCCGCCGAAATCCCGCCTGGTCCTGGGCGTGGGGTTCGCGCCCGGGCGCGGTTGGCCTCTTCCCGGTTTTGTTTGTTTTCCGTGTAGGTTCGCATCGGTTCTTCTCCCGGGCGAGGTCTGCAGACGGGCAGGAGAAGGGAGTAAGTAGAGGCGCGCGGTGCTAAGCGCTTTACTGATGCTTTTCTAATTCTTGCAGCTGCTGGCGCTGAGGGATCGGAGTTGGGGTGAGATAGTTAAAAGCCTGTTTGGAATTTAGACTGATATTTTGAAAATAACCTACCGACTTACGTTTTTCCTTTTTCCTCTTTTAGAATCCTTACTCTTTGCCAAGAGTAAGCATCCGTCTCTCCTCTCCCTCACGTCCTGCGATTTTTTAATGTTTTCATGCAGGTGTATAAATAGTTAATAGCAGAGTACATGATTTAAAAAAAACTAATACAAATCAGATGTATTTCAGTGTTCTCAAAACCTCCACATTTGGTAGTGTGAACTTTAAGTTTTGTAGAATTAAGTATAATCCGAATTGCAGCACTAAAATCCCAATGTTAGATGCCATTTGAGCTGACCCCTTTAGGAAAGAATGTAGTTCAACATTACTCTTCTTTTTTCAATACTTGGTTTCTGGACCAGTATGTAATTAATAAAAAAGAGAATGAACACTTTCCACCAAATCTTTCGTAATGCTAGTTGTTTTCCATTGACTGCCACAGTTGGTTAACTTTTTGGATTAAATATGTATAATGCGCTTAGAACAGTGACCCTAACCAAGACTAGGTAAGTACTAACCACTGTTGATGATAATGCTTTATAAAATGTCACCCCAAGGAACTATTCTTTGTTTTGTTTTTGTTACCCTTATTGAAATACTTTTCTCTCTCTTTTTTTTTTTCAATGGAGTCTCATTCGGTCACCCAGGCTGGAGTGCACTGGCATACTCACAGGCACCGCAGCCTCAACCTGCTGGGCTGAGGTGATCCTTCTGCCTCAGCCTTCCAAGTAAGGTGGAACTACAGGTGTGTGCCATCATGCCCGAGTAAGTTTTAGGTTTATTGTAGAGATGAGGTTTCGCCGAGTTGCTCAGGCAGTCCTCTTGCCTTCGTCTCCCAAAGTGCTGGCATTATAAGTGTGAGCCATTGTGCCCAGCTCTCTCTCTCTTTTTTTTTTTTTTGGTCATAGTCTAACTCTGTCACCCACGCTGGAGTGCTATGGCATGATCTCAGCCACCACAGGCTTCCAAGTAACTGGGACTATAGGTGTTCGCCACCATGTCCAGCTAATTTTTTGATCTACTGTAGAGATGAGGTCTCCCTATGTTGCCCAGGCTGGTCGAACTCCTGAGTTCAGGCAATCCTTTCGTCTCAGCTTCTCAAAGTACTGAGATTACAGACATGAACCACCATACCTGGCCACTTTTCTGTTTTTAAAGATATGTTTTTGAACTTAGAATTTTAATAGCTTTGCAATCGTAATAGACTTACTTATTTTGCTCAACATACCTTTGTGAGTTTATGAAGGAAAAGTGTAGAAATACAATTTTTTTTTTTTTAAATTTAAATGGGCCGGGCATGATGGCGCACACCTATAATCCCAGCACTTTGGAAGGCCAAGGCAAGAGGATTACCTGAGCTCAGGGGTTCAAGACCAGCCTGAGCAACATGGCAAGACCTCATCTCTACAATATATCAAAAAATTAGCCAGGCATGGTTTTGCATGCCTGTAATTCCAGCTGCTTGGAAGACTGAGGCAGAAGGATAGCCTGAGCCTAGTAGGTTGAGGCTGCGGTGGCCATGAGCAGTATGCCACTGCGCTCCAGTCTGAGCAATACAGTGAGACTCCAACTCCAAAAATAAAAATAAATAAAAATTTAAATGTTATTTTAAAAAATCTTACTCTCTCTTTAATTGATGTCAAAATAGCCGTGATTTCATTACTGCTGGCTGATTTGAATATTTTGAACAATAAATCAGATTTTAACTCCATTTTTAAGGTACCTACAAAAGTAATCTGGAAAATAAAATAAGTACTTTCCATGCTTGGGATGGATCAGTAGGCATGCTCTTCCCAAGACATTGGTATAGTACTGACAGCCAGGCACTTATCCAAATTTATAATAAGAAGCTTTACAGACCTTTTACATTAAAAGAATGATCTCTGGCAAGGTGCGGTGGCTCACACCTGTAATGCCAACATTTTGGGAGGCAGAGATGGAAGGATTATTTCAGCCCAGGAGTTCAAGACCAGCTCGGGAAATGTAGCAAAAACCTCAAGATCTGTACAAAAAAACCAATAAATTAGCTGACTGTGATGGCTTGCACCTGTAGTCCCAGCTAGTCAGATCCTGAAACGAAGGATCACCTAAGCCCCTGAGGCTGAGGCTACAGTGAGCTGTGATTGTGCCACCACACTCCAGCATGGGCAACAAAATGAGACCCCAACTCAAAAAAAAAAGAATGAGCCGGGCTCGGTGGCTCAGCCTGTAATCCCGCACCTTTGGGAGGCTGAGGTGAGTGGATTGCCTGAGCCCGTTGGTTCGAGACCCGCCTGGGCAACTTGATGAGACCTCATTTCTACAGTAAATCAAAAAATTAGCCAGGCATGGTAGCGTGTGCCTGTAATTCTGGCTACTCGGAAGGCTGAGGCGGAAGGATTGCCGGACCCAGCAGGATGAGGCTGCGGTGGCCGGGAGCAGCCACTGAGCTCCAGTCTGGGCGACAGAGTGAGACTCCAACTCAAAAAAAAAAAAAAAAAAAAGAATAGTCTCCTTCTAGGGGAGATAGGCAAAATATTCCATTCTCTTCCCTCCTCCCTTACTGGCAAACAAGAGAATCACATGAGTATATGTTTCTCTCTTTTTTTTTTTTTTTTTTCCTTAAAGCAAGGGTAAGGGACAGCAATATCATTGTGTCAGTGGACCTGAATTTAAGTCACCACTCTTCCACCTAATCTCTGTGTGACTTTGGAAGAATTAGGAGGCAGGGATCCTTAGTGGCAAGATAAACTGGGATCTGGTTCTTGGAAAGTGTCCTGGCTGTCATTCTTGAAAAACAAACCAGAACAAGGCCGGGCGTGATGGCTCACACCTGTAATTTCAGCACTTTGGGTGGCCAAGGTGAGAGGATTGCCTGAGCCAAGGGGTTGAGACCAGCCTGGGCAACTTGGGAAGACCTTATCTCTACAATTAAAAAAAAAAAAAGCTTGGCATGGTGGCATTTGCCTATAGTTCCAGCTACTTGGAAGGATGAGGCTGAAGGATCACCTGAGCCCAGCAGGTCAAGGCTGTGGTGGCTGTGAGTGTACCACTGCACTCCAGCCTAGGTGAGAGAGTGAGACTCTTAAAAAAAAAAAAAAAAGTTGAAACAAACCAGAGTAGATACATAATGAGAATGTTTTGTGTCAGAGGAATATCTGGTTTTAAGAGCAGTGAAGCCTTAGTTGCCAGTTGCAAGTATGACATGGCAATCCAGAAGTCTATAGAATCTAAACTCACTTGCTGTAACATACCATTGTCACCTAGACAATAAGAAGTTCTTTTTGTTTTCAGACTGTAGCTGTGGCAGTGTGTTATGATGCCATCCCGTACCAACCTGGCTACTGGAATTCCCAGTAGTAAAGTGAAATACTCAAGACTCTCCAGCACAGACGATGGCTACATTGACCTTCAGGTACATGCATAACGAAGCTCAAAAAGACCAACTGACTGTGTTTCTGTTGAGGTAGCAGGAAGACCTTCCAGGTGGAGGTTTTGCTAACTCCCTGGGGATTAGAGGAAGCAATAAGAAGTAAACTCAGCTCAGAGACATTTTCAACCATATCTTGTAGAAGAGGACCTTGGCAGGGCAGTTTCAGACCTATTCCAATAACATCTGTCTCTGAATTTTTAGTTGTAATGCCAGAACCCCAAAGTTACAAATTATATTTAGTTTATCCAGAAAATAAGTCTCTTAAGTGTAATTTTTTAAAGGAACTTAAAAATTTTTGCTAAGTGGAATTTTTTGTCACTGGTTTATTTATACTTTAGTCAAAGATAGTTCATCTTTTAAGGGAGAAACTTACTGCTGAAGCCAGCAGATTGTGGGAATCTTCCTTCTTTCCTGATGTCATGAGATTCAATTTATTAAAAGTATTCTTTGTGGCAAACAGTAAGTAAAACAGAATATTTACTAAATTTATATTCCACCCTAAGCATTTATAAAATAGTAGTATAGCATCTCTTTTTACCCACTCCTCATTAGAACTGAATATTCTAGGTGGAACTAGGACCAAGGAGGAAGTAGCAGGAACCCATCCTTTTAAAAATAAACAAATCAATTACTCTTTGTACTCTTTGGACCCACATTTGAAGGAGAGATAAAAACAGATCTGGGAAGCTTCCAGCCAGTTAGGTCAGATACAACTATGAGCCAAACCTTAGAAAGTTTGTCTTTTAAGTCTTAACCTTGAATTGAACTTGTTCATAAAACAGATTACTTACTCTTTGGAGCAAGCAGCTAATCCTTTAGAAAAAGCTGGAATCAGCCAGGAGCAGTGGGTCACATTGGTATTCTAGCACTTGGAGAGGCCGTGATGGGAGGATCACTTGAGGCCAGGAGATTGAGACTAGCCTGAGCAACATAGGAAGACCCTGTCTCTATTTGTCATACTTGCAACTGGCAACTAAGGCTTCACTGCTCTTAAAACCAGATACTCCTCTGACACAAAACATTCTCATTATGTATCTACTCTGGTTTGTTTCAAAAATTATTAAAATTTTTTTTAAAAAAAGAAACAGCAGGCTGGGCTTAGTAGCACAGCCTGTAATCCCAGCACTTTGGAGGCTGAGGCGAGTGGATTGCCTGAGCTTCCAAGTTCGAGACCAGCCCAGACAACTTGGCGAGACCTTGTCTTTACAATAAAATAAAAAATAGCCAGGCATGGTAGCACACGTCTGTAGTTCCGGCTACTCAGAAGGCTGAGGCGGAAGGATCACTGGAGCCCAAAAGGTCGACGCTGGGGTGGCCATGAGCGTGCGTGCCATTGCACTCCAGCCTGGGTGAAGGAGTGAGACTCCAACTCAAAAAGGAAAAAAGAAACAGCAGAAATTGTTTCTAAAACCTTTGACTACATGCTAACTTAACTTTGAATGCCAGAAATCACTTTTCTTCTCCATGCTGTGGTGTTTACTCTTAGATCCCCATAGACTAGTAATTATATATCTAGTGAACAAGTGACCAAAAAAAAAAATTTTTTTATGGTACAATGGTTTGTGGAGTGAAATTAGCACTAGAAAGGATGACATTCCCCTGGGACTCCTTGAGTAACTAGGGCTTCATCTCCTGCCTGCTCCTCTCTTTCCTAGAGCCCATGTGGGTGTTAGGACATAACTGTAGGGTTAGTAACACAACTTCTACTTTGGTTCTTAATTATTCCACCTGTTTTAATGTGTTTGAGCACTGGTATTTTCATAATATTCTTCCTTGTCTTTGTTTTGTTTTTGTTTCTCTTCCAGTTTAAGAAAAGCCCCCCTAAGATCCCTTATAAGGCCATAGCGCTTGCCACCGTGCTGTTTTTGATTGGAGCCTTTCTTATCATCATAGGCTCCCTCTTGTTGTCTGGCTACATCAGTAAAGGGGTAAGTTGACAGGCATGCTGGAGTGTGCTATGGGGTAAGTTGACAGGCATGTTGGAGTGTGCTGTGAGGTCTTTAAAATGTTGGTCAAGGCTCTGTTGTTTTATTTATTTGTTTGTTTTGAGTCAGAGTCTCTGTCACCCAAGCTGGAGTGCAGTGGCTTGCTCACAGCCACCCCAGCGTCAACCTGCTGGGCTCCAGCGATCCTTCTGCCTCAACCTTCCAAGTAGCCAGAATTCCAGGCACACGCTACCACGCCTGGCTAATTTTTTGATTTACTGTAGAGATGAGGTCCCACCATGTTGCCCAGGCAGTTCTTGAACCCGTGGGCTCACGCAGTCCTCTCACCTTGGCCTCCCAAAGTGCTGGGATTACAGGCTTGGGCCACCACACCTGACCCATTTTTATATTCTTATCTAGTACAGCAGATTCCAGTAGACAGAAGAAAAAGATTTTCTTTGATTTTGTTCTCTTGATGACAAAACATGTTTTTCTTCTGTTGAGCAGCAGTAAATGTTCATAGTTCGTGAGAGGGATGCTGGCAAGTAGGCAAACCTGGCCTCTGAGACTTTAGGCAATTTGCCCACCATCACAGTTTGGAACAGCACAGCTGAGCCTGGCATCCAGGCCTTCTTATTGGTGAAGGGCTAGAACTGAAGCAGCATGTTGTCATTGTGGCTTTGTAGCACCACAGAGATACGGGCCAGTGTTTGGAGAGAAGCAGTGGTTCTTCTATGGGTCTAGGGTCAGTGGGCCTTATGAGTTGCTACTTCTTACATTGGGTGTGGTTGGAGTTCCTGTTGAGCTTCAATATGGTACCTTAGAAACCTGAAGTGGTTGGTGGTTGTTTCTCTTGTACTGTTCCCTTATTCGCAGTGTCTTAAGTTGTCCTGAACTGACTTTGACCATAGTACAAAGCAGGTTTGGGGTGATAGTCACATCATTCTGCAGAAAGAACACAGCCAAAAGCTGATATTTTGGGTATTATTGGAATTGGGAATGGTGTCACAAAAAAATGGCTGCCTATGGTTTTTAAGAAGTGTATCTGCTGAGCCCACGGGTTCGAGACCCACCTGGGCAACTTGGCAAGACCTCATCTCTACAATAAATCAAAAAAATTAGCCGGGTGTGGTAGCACACGCCTGTAGTTCCAGCTACTTGGAAGGCTGAGGCAGAAGGATCGCCGGAGCCCAGCAGGTCGAGGCTGCGGTGGCTGGGAGCGGCCACTGCACTCCAGTCTGGGTGACAGAGTGAGACTCCAACTCAAAAAAAAAAAAGAAGTGTATCTGATTTGCCTTAGGTTCTTAACTATTAGAAACTACTTATGTGGCTACCAGAGACTTCCTTGGTGCAGTAAAATTTGAGCACCTAGCATCAGGACTGTGTCTTCAGCTAACGTTCATTGCAGCGTGAAGTATTAATCCCAGGGGTATAGTAGGGAGTTTATTTTTTTTTATTTTTTATTTTTTTTGAGTTGGAGTCTCACTCTGTCACCCATACTGGAGTGCAATGGCTGCTCCCGGCCACCTGCTGGGCTACGGTGATCCTTCCGCCTCAGCCTTCCAAGTACCTGGAACTACAGGCACGTGCTACCATGCCCGGCTAGTTTTTGGTTTATGGTGGAGATAAGGTCTCACCAAGTTGCCCAGGTGTGTCTCGAACCCGCGGGCTCAGGCAGTCCATTCACCTCGCCCTCCCAAAGTACTGGGATTACAGGCTGAGCCACCGAGCCCGGCCGAGTTTATTAATGATACTGTAAAAATTGGAAGCAGAAGCAATATCAGCGCAACTAATATTTCACCTTTTATACCTTATAGAAGACCACCTTATAAATAATAAAAACGTTGATTAAAAAAGTAATGAATCCAGGTAGAGTCATGTGCATCTATAGCCCCATCTGTTTTTTTGGCTTGGAATTTTTTAACTTATTAATAGACATTTCAAAGAAAACAGGAGTGAATAATGTCATTAACTCCTTAGTGTCCACCAGCATTAATGGTTATAAGCATTTTACCAATTTTGCCTGTCCACCTAAGTTTTTTTCCCTATATATTAAAGACCAGATTTACATGTTGCTGATAAATTCTTAAGTGTGCATCTTCAGAGTACATCTCTAACAGTTTTTCATAACTTTAGTGGCACTTTTTTTTTTTATTTTTTATTTTTTGAGTCGGAGTCTCATTGCGTTGCCCAGGCTGGAGTGCAGTGGCACACTCAGAGCCACCACAGCCTTGACCTGCTGGGCTCAGGCAGTCCTTCTTCCTCAGCCTTCCAAGTAGCTGAAACTACAGGCATGCACCATCACGCTAATTTTTCTTGATTTATTGTAGAGATGGGGTCTCACCAAGTTGCCCAGGCTGAGCTCAGCCCTGTGGGCTCATGCAGTCCTGTCACCTTGGCCTCCCAAAGTGCTGAGATTATAGGCATGAGCCGCCACGCCCGGCCAGTGGCACTGTCTTAACGTCATTGACTTTGTTTCTCTATTCCTCATATTTTTTACAACCTTAGGTTTACAGGCTTGCTTAGATCCAGGTTTACGTTTTTTTTCCTTTTAGAAAAACACCTCATAAGAGGTGCTGAGGCTGGGCACAGTGGTTCAAGTCTATAATCCCGGCACTTTGGGAGGCTGAGGCGAGAGGATTGCCTGAGCCCACAGGTTCGAGACCAGCCTGGGCAACATCTTGAGACCTCGTTTCTACAATAAATCAAAAAGTTAGCTGGGCATGGTAGTGCGCACCTGTCATTCTGGCTACTTGGAAGGCTGATGTGGAAGGATTGCCTGAGCCCAGCAGGTTGAGGCTGCAGTGGCCGGGAGTATGCCACTGCACTCCAGCCCGGGCGGCAGAGCAAGACTCCAACAAAAAAAAAAAGGTGCTGGGTATTTGCTATAACCCATGGGTTCTCAAATTTCACTGTCAAGCAGAACTATCTATCTGATTGTTAACACATAGATTCTTATGCCCTACTCCTAGTGATTTGAGTTCTGTGAGAATAGAGTGGGACCTGAGAATTTACATTTTAACCAGTTTCCAGGTAATTGCAGGTCCGTGGACCACATTTTGAAAGCCAATGCAATAGCATTACATCAAGATGCCCATAATGACTATCCCTAATTCATTATAAACTTTCTCATCACTCTTTCTATTCCTAAATCCAGTTCTATCATAAAGAACTTTGTCGTGGCTGGGTGCAGTGGCTCATACCTATAATCCCAACATTTTGGAAGACTGAGGTGAGAGGATCACTTGAGACCAGCCTGGGAAATCATAGTGAGACCATATCACTACAAAAAAAAAGTGGTTTTTTTTTAAATTAACTGGACATGGTAGCACCTGCCTGCTATTCGGGAGACTGAGGCGAATGGGTCACCTGATCCCAGGAGGTCAAGGCTGCAGTGAGCCATGATTGTGCCACTGTACTCCAGCCTAGGCAACAGAGTACAACTCCGACTCAAAAAAAAACAAAAAACCCCACAAAAACAAGCAAAAAAAGCCTTTCTCAAATCTACCATTTGGTTATCCTGAATTATAATGTGTTTAGTAAAGGCAGGAAAAATGCTTGATTATTTATCTTTATCAACTTTTATAAAAATAAATGTAGCAAGCTACAGAGGTTTTGCAACCAGAGAATTTAGTTTCATTGTGACTTTTTTTTAACATGTTTGTGTTTTAATCAGTTACAATTTTTATTTCTTTTTCATATTTAAATTATTCCATAGGTGTTCGGTAGGCACCTCTTCAAGTTACTCCTGTGTCCTTTAAACCTATAGCCTCTGATTGCTTCCATTCTTTCTGGCAAACCCGTTACCTCAGGCTACCTGTACACTGCCTGCCCCTAGTGTAGATGGCCATTTTCCTAAGGAGTTCCACTCTCTTTCAGTTGGAGGTACATTTAGAGATCACAATCTGACATTGATAATGCCCATTTCTATTGAGTTACTGTTTCTAGGCCTTTTTAGTGACAGAATCAGGAAATAGGTATCTTTTTTAGGAAATAAGGAAAAATCGTTGTATATATTCCAGTACTAATTTAAGTTTATAGAGTTTGAACTTAATTTTTTTGATTTTGTACATGTATGTTAATGCTAATGATATTGGTATAATTACTTGCCTTATTCTACATTATGCACATATTATGCACATAATAGCTTCAAAATAACAATAGCAGTATTAGGAGTATAAGAAGGCTGAATGTACTATAAGTTTTGTTTGCGGTTTTTTCTTTTTTTTCTAAGATAACAGAGATGGGGTCTTGCACTCAGGCGAGTCTCAAACTCCTGGGCTCACGTGATCCTCTCTTCCAAAATGCTAGGATTACAGTCGTGAGCCATCATGCCGGGCCAGTTTGTAATTTTTTTTAATCTTTGGGATATACTCCATGAAAGATGTACAATTAAAATCTTACAAAAGATAAAAGAAGTAGAAAATGTAAAATAAGATAACAGAAATAGTACCAAACATGTCAGTTTTCAGAAATGCAGACTGATACTCACATTATCCATCTTTGGCCTGAGAGAGTCCTTTCTTGTTGTTTTCCCTAAGTTTTAAACTGCCATTTATTGATGCATTGTGTACCAGCTAGAGCCCCTTGCTTTGCATTTCCTGCCTTATTTAATTTTTACAAAAGCCAAATGAACTCCTAGTCAGGTGTGGTGGCATGCACCTGTAAACCCAGCAACTCATGAGACTGAGAGATGGATCCCTGGAGCCCAGGAGTTCGAGGCTGCATTGAACTATAATTGTGCCATTGTACTACAGCCTGGGCAATAGAGCAATACATTGTCTCTAAAAATAAAATAAATAAATAAATAACCATATGAGCTTGTGTTTGTGGATGAAACAGCCAACACTATATTGATTAGGTAATTTGTCAATACATGTTAATACTCCTGCTAATATTTTTAGATTAGATTTAATTCTTTTTTTTTTTTTTTTTTGAGTTGGAATCTCACTCTGAGGCCTAGGCTGGAGTGCAGTAGCACACTCACGGCCACTCCAGTATCAACCTGCTGGGCTCAGGTGATCCTTCTGCCTCAGCCTTCCAAGTAGGTGGAACTACAGGTGCATGCTACCACAACCGGCTAATTTTTTGACTTATTGTAGAGATGAGGGCTTGCCAAGTTGCCCAGGCTGGTCTCGAACCTGTGGGCTTAGATAATCCTCTCACCTCAGCCTCCCAAAGTGCCAGGATTACAAGCATGAGCCATCACGCCTGGCTGTTTTTCTTTAGTTTATAATCAGGAGGAAACCTTTTTTCCTTTGCAGTGAATATTCTGTAAAGTATAAAATACTGATCTGTGATTTATATTTATATCTATATAAAATAAGACTCATGACCTTATTTTAAAATGTTTGTGAGGTATTATGTATTTGCTTCCTTCTGCCACCAGGGCGCAGACCGGGCCGTTCCAGTCCTGATCATTGGCATTCTGGTGTTCCTGCCTGGATTTTACCACCTGCGCATCGCCTACTATGCATCCAAAGGCTACCGGGGTTACTCCTATGATGATATTCCAGACTTTGATGACTAGCCTCCACCTCCGCCCTGAAGAGAAGAGTCACAGTGGGACTGCCTGCCCCAGCTTTAAGATGTTGAGCAGAAACTATTGCTAATTCTGCAGTTTGCAGATGTTTAACAAAGCAGTGGCCGATTTTATGGGTCTGTCCCAAAGATGTTAACTGAGCTTCCAGTTAGCTAATTAGTATGTGCTCTGTTTTTCATCTCCTGGCCTTGGCAAAGCTCTTGACTGGTTTTTCCACAGGAATATGTACCATGGAAGCATTGCAGTGTTAATTATCTGGGAAGATGAGAGGTTATACTGTAGTGGAAAATGTTGCCATCACCACCCCCTTTAGAGTTTGAGCATTTCTTTCAAATAGTCTTTGTTGTTCATCTGTTTTTGTAGCAAATGCAGTATGTCTAATTTCTTATTACTGAGTATTTATTTTTAAGATATCTAGTTATCCCCTACATTTATCTCTACCTTCATGTTCCAGTGGAAGACCTTGATAAAATCAGATATCATTGTGGGTCCATCTGTAATGTTGTTTTTTTTTTTTTGAGTTGGAGTCTCACTCTGTCGCCCAGACTGGAGTACAGTGGCTGCTCCCAGCCACCGCAGCCCCGACCTGCTGGGCTCCGGCGATCCTTCCGCCTCAGCCTTCCGAGTAGCCGGAACTACAGGCGTGCGCTACCATGCCCGGCTGACTTTTTGATTTATTGTAGAGATGAGGTCTCACTGCCCAGGTGGGTCTCGAACCTGCGGGCTCAGGCAATCCACTCACCTCAGCCTCCCAAAGGCGCAGGATTACAGGCTGAGCCACCGAGCCCAGCTTCATCTGTAATATTTTTTACTGGCTTATTGGCAGCAACCAGGAATTTTTTAAATTGCAGAGCTAGTTTTCAAAATGTAAACACTTGCTCTGTTACCAATCCTTGGCCAGCTCTGATCCAGCTCACCAGTAGGTTGAACAACAGAGTCATTCTGTCCTTTGTAGATCAAGGTGTTCGGTATATCATTCCTTTAAGGAATGGACCCTTGGCTGTTTCCTAATGAAAAATGTATATAAGTGATTATTATTTAGGGTTTGTAACCCTGTTGCTAGCACTTTGTATTATGTCCTCCTAAGGATCACAAGACTCAACTTGGATCTCTGGAGGACTGGATTGCCTTTGGTTGATTCTGTTTCATAGCTTGAAAAAGTGACTTATATTCAAAAGAAATTAAAACATTGAAACCCAAATCCTGGACTTAAAATGAGTTAACTGTAAACATTTCAGAAAACATTTTAATGGTTTTGTGACACTTCCAACCCTAGTACCTAAATCTGCTTTCGTTTTTAGGTATAACTGGTATTATGGGTCAGCCTCTACTTTCCAGTCATTCTTTAACGCTGAAGTTACGGACCTGCCGTCAATGAAGATTTGGAAGGCTGCGGGTAGAGCAGATTTTGGGGAGAAGATGAGTTCCATTTTGAACGTGTTAAATTTTGCATGACTGCTTCCAAGTGGAGCCATTGAGGAGGCCATTGCAATACACGTGTGTGTCCAGAGTTCAGAAGGAAGTCTAGGCTGGAGAAAGACATTTGGGAGTCAGTGTTTGGATGACATCCTAAGAGGCATAGGGCTAGATGAGATTACCAGTGGGGTGAGTGCACGTGGGGGAAGATGGAGGACAAAGAACTGGTGTCCTGAAGTAGCCTGCAAGCTTAGGCACATCTGGTAATGGGAGGAGGCCAGGGAGTCTGGTACTCTGGAGTTTCTGAGCTTTGACCATGAAGATGAGAGGTCATATAGAAAGCTTTATCTTAGTGTTTGCAAAAACAAAGCTCTGACCAGAAGATTTTTGCCAAGTTATTTGGTCCTTTTTATAAAGGTGATGCTGCTGGTAAAAAAAAAAAAAAAAAAATGGAGCAGAGGGTGTAAAGTAAAAAATAGGCATTTGGGGGAGGTGAGGAATGAACATTTCCTCCCTCAGCTACCTCCCAAGGTTGTCCAATTAAGTTTCTAGCATACCTTTCCTGAAATGTTCTTGGCACGTAAACTTATATATCTTTTTGAAAATTTGGACTCTCATTATATAGTTCTATAATTTCTTTTTTTCCCCACTTACTCTGTTTTGTATATCTTTCCATATCCATGAAGATCAACCATATTCTTTTAAACATGCATTGTAAGTACAGTTTTCCATCCTGTGCAAGAGTTATAGGATCCTAAGAGCAGAGACCAACTTTACCAGGGCTAGGACTCCCCCTCCAGTGTCCCCTGAGGAATACCCCTTGCTGTTCTATTTGAACATTCATGCTCATAATCTGATTCCAGCTGGCAGTTACAGAAGTATCATTTATTAAGCCAAAATCAGATTCCTGTGATTTGTGTGCATTGACTATAATTATATTCTTTGGTGTTTTATAGAAAAGATCTAAGCCTTCATAATGTGAGCATTGTTTGAACCCTTTGCCAGACATTGTGCCAAATACTTTAATTACATATCTATTTCACTTAAATCCTTGGGAAGACCCCGAGTTAGGTAAGATTCTTGGGTAATAGGTGGGGTATTTGAGACTCAAATTAGGCACAGTCTGAATTTTCCTTACCAGATATGAAAGCCAAATGCTTTTGGGGGCCAGATATGGTGGTTCACACTTGCAATCTCAGCACTTTGGGAGTCCTAGGCAAGAGAATCATTTGAGACCATGAGTTCAAGACTAGCCTGGGCAACATAGACCCTGTCTCAATTTTTTTGTGTGTGAGTTGGTGTCTCACTCTTATCCAGACTGGAGTGCAGTGACACGCTCATGGCTACCGCAATCTCGACCTGCTAGGCTTAGGCAATCTGCCTCAGCCTTCTATTAGCTGGAACTACAGATGCACTCCCGGTTAGTGTGTGTGTGTGATTTGTTTTAGAGACGAGGTTTCACCAAGTTGCCCAGGCTGGTCTCAAACCCCTGGGCTCAGGTAGTCCTCTTGCTTCAGCCTCCCAAAGTGCTGGGATTACAGGCTGAGCCACCGCGCCCAACTTCAAAAAAATTTTTAACCCTTGAGGCTGGGTCAGTAAAGAAATGGGTAGATGTGGACAGTAGAAGTAATAGGGACCATGGTCAGTTGTCAAGTGTATGTTTTACCTAAAAGTAGTCCCTTCCTCCCTAGCCATGTGCCCTCACTTTATAAGAATTTTCTTAATTTGCAACAACTATCCTGCCTCCCATTAGTCATTTCTGAAGCTAAAAATTCCCCCAGTTGCTTCAGCTGTTCTGCCTGTGATGAGGATGCAGACCTGTTGCCACTCTTACAGACCTTTGGACAATCTTCACACAGTATACCAGACATGGGTTGACCACTTCCCTTCTGCCAGGGATCATGGGGTGCTGAACGTTCAGCAGGGAAAGGAGGACTTGGTCAGTGAGGAGCAGAGGTTGCAAGCCAGTGGTTATAAGGCCTGCCTTTCGTTTTCAAAAATGGAAATGTTTACATGATCTTTATTTTGAATGCCTCTTAAAAAAATCAGGTAGTCCATGACAGAGTCTCCAAGTAAGTATTTTACTGGAGCAGGTAGTGAAAGTAGCTTTGAGCAGGATTCTCCAGTTGACCAAAGTCTCTACCACTTCATTCCTTTTCTACCCAACCTGCTTATTTTCCTCAACTAAGGGCAAAGGCTGTTCCATAAACCTTCCACAAAGTCTATCATAGTTCTTGTAGGCACTTAGGTTTGTTGAATGAAAAGCTGAAATCTGGAGTGCAGGTTTGTTGAATGAAAAGTTGAAATCTGGAGTGCGTTTCCATCCCAGGGCACTTCCTTTAAGGTATGAATAGGTGCGCTGATGCCACTGAACTCAGACTCCTAAGTGGCCCTCAGCAGCTGTTTGGCAGACCAGCTACTCTTCAAACGGTGCTCCGTGGCGAGTGAAGCCTCTGCCTGGCACCCTCGGTTGGGCCAGGGAGCCCAGTTCACAACCTACCTGTACCAGCTGGCACAGGGGAGCCTCCTTATACTGATGTTGGTGAGGGAGCCTGACAGGGTCACAGAGTTGAATTTCTGCTGACCTTTAGTGGGTTGTATGCCACATGAGACTATCTTGAGGATTCAGTCTTAGAGGCTTCTGGCCTCACAGGCATGTAGTTCAGTCATGAAACCTCAATTTCCTTACAAGTTTCCTAACTCACACGGTGCTTGTGAGGATTAAGTAACAATAGTTTCCAATGGTGTATCACGCAGAGCCTGGCACATAGTAAGTACTCAGTTGATGGAAGCCGCTGTTGGAGAAAGTGAGAATCACTCCTTTGGCGTGAGGATCACTCCTTTGGCTTGAGGAGCTGAGTCTGGGGTGAGGCAGTGGTGGAGGGGAAAGCCCATCTGTTATTCCTGGCGCTGTCCCAAGGAACCTGCTGTTCCATGATAGAACCATCCCAAAGCTGGGGCAGGAGCTAGCAGGACTGTCCACCCAGCCCTGGTGGGCTCCCTTCCCTGACAGCCCAAGGGCAAGAGGAGGTTTCAGGCCCCTGGCCCTTTGTCAGCATGTAGCCAGGCCTGGAGGCTGTGTGCTTCAATCCTCTGGAAGACGTCAGGGCTAGGAGGACCAAAGGACCCTGGTGTTGCTCAAGGGCCCTGCACAGTAGGCCTTGGGCATGAGGTCTTGCAGCTGGACGTCATCAGCTCACCTCTCCTGGTGAAACTTCCCTGGTTTCACCTCTTCTACCTCTGTACATCCCCTCAGTCTTGCCCTTGCTACTCAATGCTTTGGAGAAATGTTGCACCATAGGCTTGTCTGCTAAGTCAAAGTTGCATGGTTGCAAGACCCCCAGGGGCTTCACTGCTTGTCAGTGTCTGAGAAGCACCAGTGGGGGTGCTTTCTTGTCCACTTCCTCACCTTGGAACTGGGCCTCCTCAGTCAATGCCAGTGGGAGTGAGAGGTGTACCCTGAAGAAGTAGTCCTCCTTGAGCCACCATTCTTTTCTGGCTAAGACAGTAGCTCCTGGGGTCTTGGGGAAGCTTCATAGAAATGTCACAGAAACAGCACAGGAAGGCCTTATGAATATCTTTTTGTGGTCATTTAGAAATCAAAACAGGAGTCCTGAAGATGGAGAAAGTCCGTGGCAGGAGTGGAACATGCTTTGGTGGCCTGAAGGCCTGGGGAAGAGGACAGTGTGTACTTTATGACCCAGTGAGAGGCTGGATAGGTTTTCTCTAGGTTTCTGCGGGAAGTAGGTCTAGCAGCTCAGGAGTTTACTCTGAACGCTGGAGGTGCTGGCTTTCCTCTGGGAGTTCAGTGTCTCTTTTTTTTTTTTTTTTTTGAGTCAGGGTCTCACTCTCGCCCAGCTCAAGCGATCCTTCCACTTTATCCTTCTGAGTGTCTGGGACCATGGGTGCATGCCACCACACCCAACTAATTTTTAAAATTCTTTGTAGATACAAGGTCTTGTTATGTTGCCTAGGCTTGTCTAGAACTGGGCTCAAGCAATCCTCCCAAAGCGCTAAGCACTAACATCCGTTCTTTGATTCCTCCCACTGACTTAAGAAAAGCCAACTAGAAAATGCTGCAATC